TATGTTATGCTCACAAGGAGAGCGTCGAGATAAAAGAAATTAAATAAATCAATTTGAAACGTAAAAGCCGTTTAGGACCTGGTACAGGTGGAGGTGGTTAATTAAATTACTAAGTAAATGAGAAATTAAATAATTTTTCAGAATTTAACGACTAAATTATCTGGATCATTAAAAAATATGATAAACGCCTGTACGCTCAAGAGTTCAAATTTCAAACATATTATTATTGTTGTTACGTCCGATTTTTACGGGGACGCGTGTCTCATAGGGAGACAAGGGAAAATGGGAAAACAGGTTGAGTGGTTAAATGAGCAGAAGCATCTGGGAAGGAACTAAATTATATATATTACAAGAACGACTATGTACAGTGTAGAGAGAGAGAGATGAGAGAGAGAAAGGAACGAATTGGGGGAACCTAGCCCAGTGGGGGCATATCCTTGCTTCCCCGCCGGGGGTTCCTGGGCCGTCGGGCTATCCGGACCTTCTGATGCAGGGCCTCGATTCGGACGATGCAGGGCCGAGTCCGGGGCGGGGCCACACGTGGTTGCCGTGGCCTTGGTTCCTGCGGTGGCCTCTTAGTTGCATCAGCCGGTGGTGCCGGAGGCGCGCTGGCCAGGCTGGCCCGTGGAGGCCTAGGTGCTGGGGTTACGGGAGGGCGCGGAGCCCACGTCCTGGTCGGGCACGGGTCCGGAGGCCTGTACGGTGGTGGGGGGTGAGGGTGCCTGGGGGCAACCGGAGGGTTGGAGAGAGGAGGAGGATGACGCGGGAGCGAGGGTTGAGGAGGCTCTAGAGCCCTGTCGAATATCCTGGGTCGAAGACCCCAGAAGTAGCGTACTCTCGTGCTATGCGCCTGAGCTGGACCTTGTGTCCAGCTCGTCGCGACCTGCCCATGTTTGGGCGTGCCTGCGGGAAGCATCTTGGATTAGCGGGGTTAAAAAGCGGGGGAAGGAATACATGCTGTTAGTGGTGGGGGGTGATTAATGCTAACTTATTTTGAATTAATCCCTTAAATAGGCACTCAGAGAACGATGGAGTTCAGAATCACGGGAGGGTTGAAGTGAAAAAGAGACTTCATATGTTGTCGTTTAATCGAATGCTCAGATGGATTTCTCGATTATGATAATCGATTCATTGCCGTCATCATTGCACTCTTGGCAACTTCTGATTCATTTGTTGTAGTAGGGAGACCCGAGAGTGAGTACTCTGACTGCGGTTAACGTTAATCTGCAAATGGAACGCGTAAAGGCAAATCAGAAGTAATTACGTAACCACTTCATTGCACCAACGAAATAACTAGAGTTCGCGTAAGATCGGTAAAATTCGCTGTGTGCCCATCTCAGTGTGAGATTCCGTCTGTTCGAGGGGACTCTGTGAAATTGCCCCTGGACGACTGGGAACTGAGGTTGGCTACGACGGAGAAGGTCCCCCTTTCTTTTGCGGGGTTCAGACCAGATGAATGGTGTCGACGACGTGGAGGATGGTTGCGAGGACTGGCGGCTCAATGCCAGTTCGGGGTAGGGTGGTGATTTCCCGCCGGAGGAACGCCGTTGGCGGCGCGCAACCAGAGGTGGAGAACCGGAGGAACGCCGAGGGCGGCGCGCAACCAGAGGTGGAAAACCGGAGGAACGCCGAGGGCGGCGCGCAACCAGAGGTGGAAAACCGGAGGAACGCCGAGGGCGGCGCGCAACCAGAGGTGAAAAACCGGAGGAACGCCGAGGGCGGCGCGCAACCAGAGGTGAAAAACCGGAGGAACGCCGAGGGCGGCGCGCAACCAGAGGTGAAAAACCGGAGGAACGCCGAGGGCGGCGCGCAACCAGAGGTGAAAAACCGGAGGAACGCCGAGGGCGGCGCGCAACCAGAGGTGGAAAACCGGAGGAACGCCGAGGGCGGCGCGCAACCAGAGGTGAAAA